CCTGACTTGAAACGTCAACTTTCCTGTTCCTCTGATGCTGCCTGGCCTGCTGTGTTCCTCCAGCTCCACACTTTATTATCTTATAACAGGAATATAAATGTATGTTTATGACATTCTTTAACTGAATCTCTCAAAGTACAGCCTGCCCTCTGTTTGCTTATTTGCCAATTCAAGAAAAGGTATCACTGCTGAGTGACCTCTTCCTACATAGTGCAGGGTTGCTAACCCAATCCACCCCCACCATTTCACCCTGACTCTCCAAACCTCTGTCCCAATTCTCTGCTAAGTGCCAGCTTGTAACAAAATATTCTTGCAGCCTTTAACATAAAATTATGATTTTGTTTGATTGCCTTGTTGTTTCCAACCTCCAACAGTAAAACATTGTGAGGAGGCAGCAAATAGAGGGTAACATGTTGAAGGGATGATGATTCGTCAGGGAAGAGATCAAGTGTCTGACAGTAAAATCAAAATCATCCCGAATAATTGTTTAAAAATAAATTAAATCGGCACTGATTGCCAGTCATGGTGGCAAATTGGGTATTTTAATTGCATTGCCCATTACAGATTTAAAATGGACGGTTCCATTAATTTTCCGAAGGGCTGTTTAGAAAATCTGCCAGGAAGCTGGAACAAGAGTTAATGGTTCTACATCATTATTGTAGGATGGTCTCTGGTACCAGATAGCTGACCCTCCCCCAATACCTTCCATTATTTTTGCACCTTCTTGGTAGCAGCCTATACCAAAAATTGTTGAAACTCTTTCCTGTTTCACAAAGTAAGCGTATTTAATCAACAGTAACAGATGGATGCGAGGCTTAAACGTGTGACTGCCTAGCTGAAAGTCAAGCGTACCAAACTATTCACACTGATAGACGCGCGAACATCCAATTTAATTACATGATGCAATGTTTAGCGATGAGACACAACTTACTTTTAACCGGGTGCTGATGTTCTCATAATTCGACTCAACTGACTGTTTTTGGGTCACTTTAAAATCCCAAGAGCAGAACACTTTTGTCACCAGATTTCCATAGGTGCTGCCCACTCTGTAACTCTCTCCAAAAGCTTTGGACAGGCTGAAAGGTAAAAATTCTCAAGTTGTTTTAACAGCTTCTGAAAATTGTGTAACCCATTCTGTACTTTGTAAAAGAGGCTTCATTTTTTTTTTCTTGCTCAGTGAACTTTAAACTGACCTACACAAATTCAAAAATCCATTCAAAATTCAGAGCCACTGTTGGAACCCATGTCGGATTCAAAGAAACTCTCAAAAAGCCTTACCAAAGATCCTCAACATCATCAAGTCCAACTATTTCTATTGCCATCTTGCAAATGGAATTGCTGTTTTGTGGTTCAGTGTCACGGGGTAGTTTAATATTTTTAATCTTCCTTTCCCGTACACAGTTTCTACGAAGTTTCTATTTGGGAAACTGCAACACCGAACTGACACTGGTATAGGAGATAAAATGTTAAACTAGGTTTAAATCACTCCTACTCTCATGGTCACCGGCCTAATTATTAACAAGGGGATCTATTCTAGACCCTTCCTTGGCTATACTCTCACTCACAATACTACAAACGAAAAACAATAATTTCTCTCAATTTTTACCCAACACCATTCATATATAATGATGAAACTGAACTACAATATTTTGGTTAGACTTGCCACATACAATGGCTAGGGCTTCAAGGAGCAGAAAGACAATCATGTTCCTAGTGCCTCACTTATTCTTGAAAAAGCACAGCATAACCAGTGCCCGTTAATGTGTAGATTTAAAGGTGTAGGCAAAAGTTATGATTCCTATTCTACAGTAAAATGTAAAAAAAAATAGAATCCCTACAGTGCAGATAGAGGCCATTGGGCCTAACGAATCTGCAGCAACCTTCTGAAGAACATCCCACCCAAACTCACTCCCCCATCCTATCCCAACCCTGTGTTTATCATGGCTAATCCACCTAGCCTACACAAATCCCTGGACAGTACAGAGCAATTTACCATGGCCAATCCACCTAACCTGCATAATTTTGTAACTGCGGGAAGAAACCAGAGGAAACCCCCACACAGGGAGAATATGCAAACTCCACACAGACAGTCAACTGATGTTAGAATCGAACCTGGGTCCCTGGCACTGTAAGGCAGCAGTGCTAACTGCTCTGGCACCGTATTGCCCCACTTATAGCCCAACTGATCAAAATCAGTTCTGATGAAAGCTCATCAACACGATGCATGAACTCCAAGCTCTCTCTCTCCATGGATGTTGCCTGACCCTGCGGAGTGTGTTCAGTATCTTCTGCTGTATTTCAGATTACCAACACACGCACAATTTTGTTTTTGTCCGAATTCAGGAAGCCAACCGTGTAAACATAGAAACATAGAAGCTGGAGCAGGAAGAGGCCATTTGACCCTTCCAGTCTGCTCTACCATTCATCACAATTATGGCAGATTGTCCAAATTAATGGCCTAATCCTGCTTTCTCCCCATAACCTTTGATCCCATTCACCCCAAGTGCTATATCTAGCTGCCTCTTGAATACATTCTATGTTTTGGCATCAGCTACTTCCTGTGATAATGAAATCCACAGCCTCACCACTCTTTGGGTGAAGAAACGTCTCCTCATCTCTGTCCTAAATGGTCTACCCCAAATCCTCATACTGTGACCCCTGGTTCTGCACACACCCACCATTGGGAATATCCTCCCTGCATCAACCCTGTTTAGTCCTGTTAGGATTTTATAAGTCTCTACGAGATCCCCCCTCATTCGTCTGATCTCCAGCGAAAACAATCCTAACCAAATCAATCTCTCCACGTATGTCAGTCCCACCATCCCTGGGATCAGCCTGGTAAACCTTTGCTGCACTCCCACAAGAGCAAGAGCATCCTTCCTCAGAAAAAGATGCCAAAACTACACACAATATTCCAGGTGTGGCCTCACCAAGGTCCTGCTCCTGTACTCAAAACCTCTCGCAATGAAGGCCAACATACCATTTGCCTTCTTTACCGCCTGCCGCACCTGCATGCTTACCTTCAGTGACTGGTGCACAAGGACACCCAGGTCCTGCTGCACACTCCCCTCTCCTAATTTACAGCCATTCAGGTACTAATCTGCCTTCTTGTTTGTGCTTCTGAAGTGAATAACCTCACATTTATCCAAATTATACTGCATCTGCCATTGATTTGCCCACTCACCCAACTTGCCGAGATTATGCTGAAGGATTTCTCCATCTTCGTCACAGTTCACCCTCCCCACCCAGCGTGGTATCATCTGTAAACTTTGAGATGTTACATTTTGTTCCCTCATCCAAATCATTAATACATATTGTGAATAGCTGGGGTCCCAGCCCCAATCCCTATGGCACCCACCAGTTACTGCCTGCCAATTTGAAAATGACCTGTTAATTCCTACCTACTTATATTAGAAAGCAATTCAAATTAGCACAACCATCACCTCCCATGAAATGAGAAAAGTAAGAAGTCAATTTTCACTGCAGTGACTGGACAGAGTTTTGGCACTTGGTAACATAAGCAAAGAAAGGTATTTTACCAATGGACCAGGATTATGCAGGTGATGAAGAAAGACCCTCCAATCGTGTAAATATATGCTATTGGCATATTATACGATACAAAAGGAGCACTATTATTGTATCCTCTGTGCAAGAAACGCCAAGTGTTATTTGTATAATACCCGTAGTATAGAACGGTGTCTGTGAAGTATCCCTGAAAAAGAAAATAAAGCAATTTAAACAGTTAGGATCATGACATTTTGAACATGCTCACTCAGTTTGTTTTTTTTTGCAGCAACGTACAGATGCTTGCCCTGAACTGTTTAAAACTACGTGAAGGCTGATTTCTGCATTCATCATCTAATGTTTTGTTTCTTCAAAGCCACTTTATTTCGTCAAACGTCTGTCATGTTCAACAGTACGTGGCAGCTGATTGTGCTGGATTCCTAGACTGGGTTCATTAGCAGCTTGATTAAAAAAAATGGACCATCAAAATACTTTAAATGTTATCATTTACTTTTAAATACATATTCTCCACATTTGATTTCATTATATCATCTGCACCACATTTATTCCTTTGAAAAGTTAATAAGGTAATTTGTTCTCACACAAGTATGATGTAGGGATGGAGATCAGCTTGACCTCTGCTTTTCTTCCCCTCCACCATTATAAACATTTTGTTTGCTTCAGCAATTTTCTCCTCTCCTCATGACAGTTCAACTAAAGATCTGGAATGCTCTCAAGGAGATTTATAGTCTCAAATTTATACTTTATCACTAGGTGTACCTAGTTATCACCAGGATCAGATTTTGCTACAGATAAACGGTGAGATTTCCATACTCTGACCACCCTAGAACAAAACTTTGAATCCAAATAAATTCTTTCCCTTCCCTTGCATTAATTTAAGTTGTACTACATTTCCGATCAAAGCAAGGCTTTTGCTTAAATGTAGGAATGCAGAGATCTTAGGTAACTTATACTCTTTCATCTTGGCTGCTCATTTGCACATCCGTGAATGAATTACTTCACGTAAGTATCTTCAACTCTATTCACTAACTTTTTTATTTAGACAAGCATATCATAAGAAATTTAAAGTTTACTTTTTAAAACTTGTTCTTTTTGCAACATTGTATCATGGTAGATAACTTAAGCCTAATAATGAAAATATAAATGCTAAGACAAAGTTATTTATAAACACGTCATTATAAAGCAAGTTTTGTTCAACACCATTTCTCTCTTCTTTCCTAGACGTTTTATACTACACACCATTTCCTCAATGAAGAAAGCTGGCAGACAGACAATCTGCTCCTAGTTTCTGCCACTATCACTCAGTGATCAGCTGGAAGGAGCAATGCAAGAACCAGATAGACCATTGCCCTTTGCTAAGTAAAGGCTGGCATGCCTCTGCCCTGCAAACTCATAATTAATCCAGCAAAGATCATCATGAGATATTAAAATACCAAAGATTTCCACCAGAACAATGCAAAAATAATTCACTATCAAAGGAGGCAGGGAGTTTTGCATGTGTCACACTTTTTAAGTAGATACTTTGGTCTCAATGTTTTATAGTCATGGCCACATGCTTTTCAGACAGATGGATAGATTTCACCTGAGCATTGTTTTTTCAGTTAGTACTGTGTGGGGTGTGAATAGGGCTGTTGGAGATGGACTTGTGTCGATGGATTTATGGCAATGAATCAGTTAGGTAATGCCACTTAGGTCTCTATTTATATCACTATTTCATTGCTGTGCCACCTGCCACTGTTGGCTGAGTGACTGCTACGAAGAAGGATTATCTAATTTCAAAATTGAGAATATGGCTCTGGAATATTAGTCCAATCCAAATGAGCAAGCATAAAGTGAGCTTGTAGTTAGCATGGGCTTATTCCTAATTTATTTTCAGTTAAACATATTTACTTTAACATAAACGTTATTAAACGTGTACGTTTGTACTAAATATATCTGATGGAGAAGCTCTCGGTGAACAAATGGACACAATGAAAAATTTGGATCTTTTTAAATTCTTCACCATGGAAGGCATAAAAACAGCATTACTTCCTCTCCAAGCCAGGTGGCTCAAGGCCAAGGCATTTCTGGATTTTGGAATTGTCTGGATTTTGGAATTGTCTGGATTTTGGAATAGTGCCAGAATGCCTAACTGCTAATGTGTGAATCAGCTGTAAACAGATAACAAGCTACAAAAGATGCCAAATAACTAATCACGAAAGTACACATTTTCAAACCCATTCACTTGAAAGGATGAGTTGATGCAATAATACACAAGGTGTTCAGAATAAAGTTAACTGTCTCCAACAGTTAAGTTGTTAATTTCTTTAAAAAGTTTCTATAAGGCTTGTAAATCACAAAAGTATTTATAGTACAAATTTGAAGACACTTACAAGTTCTTGGCTCATCTATATACCAATGTGTTCCAAATTATTTTCCATTGTGACCCCATTTTAACACAGGCAAATAGAATCAGCCCCTCTCCATCAGTTTCACTCCAGACACATCAATGATGAAGTTTCACTTGGCTGCCTCCACCTGTATCATATTGGTACACACACACCCTAGGCCCACCCAACATCTGCTGGTAAAAATATTTCCTTCATTTGAAGAGCACTTTGGGTGGGTACAATATTCACTCCTTACGGTCTAAGCAGACATGATCCACTGGGCCAAGGGATCTCCTGGCAGAGCCTCTGAACTGGAGCACCTCCTCTCCGTACCCACCATTGTGCCCAGAGATGGTAGAGCCTGCGGCTGCTCAGCTGAGAAAAATTCTGGTCACCCTGTGTTTGTAGATTCCCACACTGGAAACGTTACAATGTAGGAATAAATATGCGCGCTTTCCCAGGGGTTGATTCACGAGGCTGTGTGTGTTTCGGGAGGATGTGAGGGAACAGTGATCCATTGGATCTTTTTACAGCACAAGAGCAGAGCCTCAAAAATAGTTAAGAATCGCTGCTTGTGTTTTACTTACAATGCCAGTCAAGAGCTCCAGGCCGAAGAATTGCCCTTCTGGGACTTCAGGGGGGTGAGTAGCTTGGGGAATGACAATGAAGAAATTGTTCATGACAAGATGGAAAGCATTGAATATCAGCAGCATCTTGAGGAAGTTGAAATATGAAAGCACCCCTGTTCCAAAGCGGCCACTGATCTGTTTCAGGGCAATCTGCCGTAGGTGAAACGTGTACAGAAATGAAAGAAATCCATACCAGCATTGCCTGACAGCCTAAGAAAAAAAAAGAAAAATGGGGTGAAACACTCTGTAGACAGAACAAGCCATTTCACTGGTGTAAAGACATTTCTTTGATTTACAAGATTGATGTGAAGATAATATTGGCAGAACTCTCAGAAATAATGAAATATTTCACATGCATATCTTTAGAAACAACATTTGGGAAACCTTTAAAACTTTGAGGAAGTAATATTTCCACAGCTGCAGTTTCAAATGTGCTACATTCTAATGTCATTTTACCTTTGAAAAAAATGCAAATATTATTTCAAACGACTGCAAAATTTAAGCTTTCTTAAGAGAGACCAGAAAAGTTGGATAGAAACAGCCTATGGCTGACCGTAGGCTAAATTATTTAAGTGGAATAAATATTTTAATAAGTATAAATATCTGTTTGTTGAATTTTACTTTCTTTAGTTAAATGAATTTTCAAATACTTACGATGATCATATTGTATTTTGTGTGACTCCAACATGATAAATTCTCATCAAGTGGAACACTTCTGTGATCTTTACAGTTCGATGTCATACGCCTGTAAGAACACAGTCATTAGAGGAATTAAAGCCCCTCAAAAGAAGTTAAATTGATCAACCCCCACAGTTCTTTAAACCTCAGGTAACCCCTCTTCGGGTTACTTCCCACCACTGAAAGCACAATCAAGATACCAGTCACTGCAAGCAACTTCCTGTTTCAAGAACATACTTTGATTTCTACGCTTCAACACGGGAAACTTTCAAGTTACACTCGGACCTGATGTCTTCTCCAATATTACTTTTGGAGAATGGAGGTGATGTGTTTAAAACAGCTGCATGATAAAGGAGACAACTTTACACTACCAATGCCACATTCATGCCAACCTATGCCCCTGTACATAATCCTCCTGCCTGCACACCCCCATAAACCAATATATGCACTACCCTCATTGCCCTATTTCAATTTACCCATCTCTCAAGGTCTCTCATGCCCCATGTGATCCCAATCATTTCCGTGTCCTTTTATTGCTCTGATGCCATCTCATATCCACCACCTGAAACCCTTTTCCCTTCCCTTCCCATGCCAATTCATTTATTATCTACCATGGGCATTAATCTAAGAGGTATTCTGACAGAAAATTAAGCTTTCATTCTATTATGCTGTCACTATTGAAAAAGCACATTTATTTATTTATAAAAAATATATTGAAATTGCTAAAACTAATCTTTTATATAAACAAACATTTTACTCATGTCCTTAATACCTTATGTCAACAAACACTTCAATTCAATATACATCTGAAATTATCCATTAATAAGCATACTACATTGTTTGCAGCACAAATCCTATAGTGGTTTTACATGAACAGGTACTCTGAAAAACCTAACATTGTTCAATTAGCTCCACTTCTTTTTTTGGACAAATTCCTGACAACTTTGCCAGTCCTAATAGACTTGTGCATATTTTACACATAACCATGCCTTTTCACAATCTCAAAAGGTGCCTTTTCTCCATGTTGCCCCAGAACTGGATCCAAAAGGTGTACCTCTTACCTCTCCAAAAGATAAGGAATGTAAATCATTCCACCAGCCCTCACAAGCCCCTCATTCCCCACACACAAAGCTATGCAACCTAATTCCTTCTACTCATTCCATGATGAACCCTCATAGCCTTATGCCAATTTAGTGCCTGCTACCACCCACCTGCTTTTCTAACTTCATCTATCATGCCAAGTCATTGGGTATCCTGGATGAGTGCAGCGCCAGCATCAAGTAGCCCTCTTCACTGGCACCTTACTTAACACTGTGAACATTTGTCCCTGCTGTCTGTGATATGGAATACTCTATGATCAGAGTTCACACAATTTGCTCTGAGCTGCATAGCAATGTTACTTTTACTCCATTCCCAAAATGTGCTCTCATGTCTAAGCACTCCCGATGAACTGTCAATGTTGCCACTTCCCGTGACAGTAATAATTATGAACTTCGCAATATAGCACCCACTATGATCTTGCCCATGAAAAGTGTAACTTCTGAAAGAATCTCTACAAATGACAATTTAGGAATTTTTAATTGTCGGTCTACAGACATAGATCAGAACAAAATCATCTAAATCTAATTTTTTTTATGGAACGCTTTCATCTTCAACATTCATTTCATCTAGCTGAACTGGGCTTGAACACATATTAAAGTCAAGACTGCTGTGGAGACATAAAATGTTGATTTTTGCATTCTGTGAAAGTATTAAAAATTCAGTTCTTATAAACCCATGTGAATCCTATTTGCTTAGCAATGAAAATCCTTAATGTGATGCTTGGTTCTGAGGAGAAAGACTGCTGAGCTTTTGTTTTTAAATTTACATTACTGAACTAATAGTGCAACAGTGAAAATTCATCTGATAAATGAAAGAGTAGAGCTGGATGAACACAGCAGGCCAAGCAGCATCAGAGGAGCAGGAAAGCTGTTGTTTTGGGTCTCGACCCTTCTGAAGCTGCCCTGTTAGCATAGTAAAGCATCCGAACATGCCTCATAGGGAGCACTATCAAAGAAAATTTGCTAATGAGTTATAAAGGTCAGATGGTGAAAAACATGTGTCTTAAAAGGAATAAAATAAAAGGCGGTAGGAATTCCAAAGCTCAGGACCCAGGCAGGTGAAAGCAAGGTCATCAATGGTGGAGTGGTTAAAACATGGTTGCTCAACTGGCCAAAATTGGAACAGTATAGACATCTCAGAGGAAATGACAGAGATTGGGAGGTGGGGGTGTTGTGAAGAGAACAGGTCAAATGCAGTAAGTGCCATGGAGGGATTTAAAAACAAACATAACTATTTTAAAATGGCCACACTGCTTAACAAGATTGTGTTCAAATTGGCTTCTGACATTTAAACACTAACATCTACACAGGACTGTTGATATGGATAAAACAAAAGACATGTCAATCAATTGTGGACTGTATTTACAGGAACTTGATAACAAGTCACTGCAGTTGTGTGTTCGAAAATGGTATTTTAAGCACGACAGCTCCACCACAACTTCTCTAAACTCATCTCAGGTTTCCTCGTGACAATTTTTCACCTGGTAACTTCTTGACAGTTTCAGCCTACATGTGCTTTCAAATTGCCCACAAAGCAAACAACTTGTCTGCAGGATAAAACTACACCACAAAAGGTATTCCTCTAAATACTTGAAAGTTTCCTAATATGCTCAAGTCGACAATGGTGACGTAACAACAAAAACAATAAAAGCTGGAAAGAACATCAGTAGTTCAGGCAGCACCTGTGCAGAGTAACCCTGATCAGTGTTTCAAATCAAGCTGACTTTTTGTCAGAACAGATTAGGACTCATCAGAAAGTGACTATGTAACATTCATTATGAAATTATCCTAAAGTAAACACCGACTTCCAGTACGGTGTGTCTTTTGTGAAATCAGACGATGTACTACAGTTTGTAAAATAAATTCTAATTTATGCACAAGTCACATTGTTAAATTTTAATGTTAATTTTTTGCACTTATATATAAACTCATGATTTGTGCAGAAGCTTCTTTAAAAATAGCTCAGTTTGTCCATTAACTTAAACCCTGGAGAAATTACTTATTCTTAAATCTGCAAACGCAATGTAAAATTGCATTCAGCCTTTTATTGAATGGCTAATGAAAGGTCAGTGGCACTGAACAGAAGAGGAAAAGACTCAAATCCTATCTTACTTACCTGACTGAAACACATCAACTTCTATCCACTGTTTCTTAAAATTTTTGCTTCCCTGATTTTCTTGTATCATGTTCCAAAGATGTACAGGTGATGATGGGCAAAATTTCAAAACTAAGAGGCCATTTCCTTTTGAGAGGAAGCCTGGTATTTTGGTCAACCATATTCTAACCAAGCAAAAACCTCACTGCATCTCAGAAATGTTTTTACTGGCTGATAAAATCGAGACTAGGCAAAAGGAAACTGACACTGTCTCAGCTCTGCCTCTGCCCAGTCAACTCTGCAAAATCAAAGGTCATTTGTCTTTAAGACTTAGAACAGTGCATTTTCTCACTAGGTCACAGATGTAATAACCATGGTATATAAAATTCATGAAAATTCCCTTACATTTCACAGCATCTAGTCCTGCCTTGGCTTTTAGAGCGTATTTCTGAGAAAATACCTGAGAAGAAACGACAGTTCCTTTCTGGTAATTTTACTTAAGCTACTGACATCAGTGCTTTGTCATCATCACTTGAGAGAATTTAGGTCTTTTGATAATGATCCCATTGGATTGGAAGACCACCAAAGCATCAGTCTGGTCTAGGCTATGCTCTCTGATTTTGAGTAAATGAGCTCAAAACAAGATGAGCTCCATGCACAGGCAGCCCAATAAGAGAGAAAGATTAAACCAAACATAGATGTTTGGAATGTAGGACAATTTTCTTTTAAGTGATGCAAAATAACTAATAGGCAGATGCAATTTATTCATTGTTTTGTATTGGTGTGCCAAGATCGTTTAAAGTGAGATTGGGCATTACTGTTGCTCTGTACGTTCATTACAGTTAAAGAAAAAGCAGTCTACGATTCATACTTAGGTCCATCTTACAAATGTTTCCTTGGTCTTTTGAAAAGCCTGGAAAGGCACAATGCAAGAGACTTGAATGTCTAAGTCAAATGAGAAGAGGATGCTACTGTTATACCCTTATATTACATGATCACACTGTTATCAATGATCAATATGCAAAGACACACCAAACAATGTAATAACATTGTTCAAGGGGGTGACTTGTACCAATATACAGTAACCTGTAGATAGAATATCAGAAAGAATATCAAAGTGAAGACCCTTAAGAAACATAAATGAATGCCTCTCTAAATCTTATTAAGTTAAACAGCTTCACGATACGCTTTGATTTAAGCTTAAAATATTAAATGAATTTCTTAAACATACAAGGAACGTGTGACATAATACAATTATACATGTGCAGGGGGGCTTGGAATATCTATCATCCTGAGGTGACAAAATAATGAACAAATATAAACTTTAAGCGTTAAACTAAATCTTTGTAAAGTAACTTACGAATATATTTTCTTCTCTTAACTTCATTGATAATAATTAATTATTAATCTTATATAATTATGTAAGATCCATTTCTTCTAAATCTACTTTCTTTTAGAAAAGGCCAGCTGTTTCATGGAGCACAATTTCAAGTGGATTCCAGTGCAGAAATATATTACTTCAGATTTATATTACTATTTACGTTACTGGGTTTTCCTGAGTCTTGAATGTGAGATCACTGAGAATTGATGAAGTAACTTGAAATTTAAACCGAATCACTCATTCACCACTATTCAAGTGTAAACAATCCCTTCTCCAATTTGCACCCAATATCCATATACGTTTGCCTCAAAGTATGATTAGTGAAGGAATCCAGATTGCACACTTTTCATTTATATGAAAAACACACATGCACTAAATTTAAAGCAGTGGCCAAACAAAAATGAGACAAAGTTTTTGTGATAGCATTGTTCAGTTACAATGATGCCATGATGAAAAATGTTTGCACGCAGCTGATAGTCAGGATCTGGAATACATTGCACGAGAATGTGGAAGAGAAAACCTGCAGTACTATGGTTGTAGTAGGAGAGAGGCATTAGGTGAAATGTTCTTGTAAAGATCTGGGGCAGATCTGGGCCAAATGGCCTTTTGTGCTTGTTTCCTTAATTATTCACGTGATGTTGCTGAGCATCTATCACCCAAAGTGACCTTCAAAGTGATGGCGAACTACCTTTCTGAAACACTGCGGTCTATGGGATGTAGTTACACCCATAATGCTGTTAGTTCTAAGACTTTTACAAAGCAACAGTGAAGAAACAGCAACACACAGCACAAAGTAGTGTATTGTGTGGCTTGGAGGACATCTTGCAGCTGGTGGTGCTCCCATGCTCCTGCTGCCCTTATCATGTCTGACTGCACAGTGAAGGGAAGATCATCGATGAAGCAGCTAAAGATGTTGGGCTGAGGATATGAACCTGAGAAACTCCGGCAGTGATTTCCTGGTTTGGAAAAGAATTACTTTTGACAACCACAACCAGTTTCCTTGTTGCTACATGCGATGCTAATCAACAGAGAATGTTCACCCCGCCCCTGCCAAATCCTGTTTAGTCCAGTTTCGCCAGCCCACCCTGACATCAAACTTGGTCAAATACTGCCTTAATGTCAAGGACACTCTCACTTGACCTCAAATTCAGCTTGTCTGTCTATGTTTGGACCAAGGCTGTAATGAGGTCAGGAGCTGAGTGGCCTTGACAGAACCCAAACTGAGTGGGTTACTGCAGACCAAGAGTGCCACTTGATAGTCTTAAATGACAACTCCACCCATCACTGTAATCACTATAGCCTTGTAATGAGTCTGCGTAGCAGCACAAACAAAAGAGGGGCATGACAAAGTACACAACTTTACAACTGCTTATCAAATTATCCACATTGTATGTCTGACCTGAGTTCCCTTTTCACAGAGAGGTTCAGTGGCATAGTCCGTAACATCCTAGTGCATTCACTCTCGGTCAATTGCTGCAATTCAGTCAACAGCTTCTTCTTTTCTGAAATACAAAATCAAACATAAAACATCCATTCCTCTGGCCTTTCGTAACAACAAAACAGCTACCA